TTTGGCACCCACCCATGGTTGGTAGTTTACTTGTTCCTAGTCCTATTAACTGGTGTGGTCGCGTTAGGTACTTGGGTCTCTATTGGGGCCCTGCGTCCCCGTTTGCGAGTTGTGTCAACGAACTTTTGGAAGCAGGGCGACGGGCTATGTTCGGTCTTAGTAATCGGTTGGATGAGAACAGGGTGTGGGCTCCTGCCGTTCGGCTTCAAGCGTTCGACACCCAGGTCCGTTCGGTTCTCTGTTATGGTGCTGAGGTCTGGGGTCCTGATAGGATTGTCTCCGTCCTGCGGTTAGGTAAAGGTGTTTTACCCGCTGGTAAGTCATATTTTGATTTGGCTTTGGAAGATGGTATGGTCCAGGTCCAGCGTGACTTCTGTTTACGTTGTGCTGGGCTCAAGCAGGTACCTTACAAGCTGTTGTACAGGGAGCTGTCTCAGTTGCCTTTGCAGTACTTTTGGTTACGCCTTGCGTTGTGTTTCTGGAATAAGATAGTCAAGTCCCGTGGGTCGGTCTATCATGACGTGTTAGTAGATGATCTCCGTCTGGCTCTTCTGTCTGATCTCAAAGTGGATTGCTGGTCGTCTAAAGTGCTCATCATTTTGCGTTGGTTGGGCCATGAGTGGCCGGCGTGTGACTCCGTTTCTCAGACGGTAGATGTATACTCGTCTCAGTTGATTCGAGTGGGTGAGGTTCTGGAGAGGTTATCTGCGTTCCTTTTAAGTGACTGGGATCAGTTCAGCCAAGGGGGTGATCCGCGTGTGTTCCAAGGTAAAGGGGTTTCGCTTTGCAGGTATCATAACTGGATGGGCTTCACCAGCAAGAGAGGGCTCCGATCCCACAGGCTATTTGCGTGTTTATTTGCCGGTCAACCAGTTGCGTATGGTTGCCAAATTCCGTCTTTGTTGTTGGCCTTTGGAGGTCAACAAAGGACACCATAGGCCGAGAGAGTGCCGTACGTGTCAGGTCTGTACGTCGGGTAAGGTTGAGGATGAATATCATGTGCTCATGGAGTGTGAGGCGTATACTGAGTTGCGTAATAGGTTTCTGATTAACGTTGAAGATACTGATATGCGCAAGGTATTTCTTAATACCAATCCGAGGAAAATCGCTACTTTCCTTACTGAGGTTTTTGATGAGCGTCAACAGCGTGCTCTGGAGCCTCACGGCTCGTGAGGGCACCCGCCGCGTCGGCGGCGGAAATACTGTAACCACAACAACAACAACAACTGTGTCCAGTAAGGTAGTAGCCGCGGCGCTCACATGTCACCACCCGCGGCATTCTACTAGTGTAGTAGCCAGGCGCGCTGTGTCCACTATCCTAGTACCGTGGCGCTG